CTCCCACTCTAATGTGAAAGCCCTTTCTTAGGTTGCCAGAGGCTCCAGGGTGCTTACCCATCATTGGCTATCCTGTCTTTCTTCAATAGTACCATACGGGGGGTGTTGTTTCAGGTGAAACATATGAATTTTCTAAACCCAGCTTTAAGAGGGATTTTAACCCAAGCTTGATAACACAAGGTATCAATAATATTATAAGAAGACATAGCAGAGCAATCACAATGGAAAACAGAAAATGGGGCAAGTCTCCCAACTTGCTGAAGGGAGAGGCTGCGTGCCTGAGGGTCTCTAGGATATCTTGAGCAGTTTTAACAGGATCAAACCACAATTCTGCATTTTGCATGTCAAGTATCTCCTTATGTAGGTCTAGAAAATCTTTGGTGAAGTTATCGGTAAGCCATATGCCCTGTAGGTGATTTTTCACTGATTCCCAACTATACTTAGATTGATTATACTCTTTAGATGTGACACAAACTTCATTATAAGCTGCATGACACTTCAATCGGTGCCTTAATTTTAGGCCCTGAACCTCTTCGCCCAAATACATGACCATGTCATACAAGGCATTAAGCTTATGACTTATTTTCTCATCAATATTTCCTTGATCATTAAGAGCCTGAGTTGCATTTTGGGTCAAACTATTGACATAGGTTACAGTTTGTACATTCTCAGTTAAAGCTACAGCTGCTACAGTAGAAGATACAATAAAGGAAATTAAAGATAACAACCCTACAATAACGAGGTCCACAGCTCTCTTGGGATGGTCTAGAGTTTTCTTCAATTATATCAACACTTGCAGGCCCTTATCATCATACCAAGGTCCCGTGTGGTTCACAGGAATCAAAAGGAAAGGGGGGGTTGCTTAAGTCAAAGAAGCATGGTATTGTTGGACACAGTAGAGATGCAGCTAGTGAGACTGCATTTTTTACAGGCAATGTGAAACATATTTTTCTGATAAGTCATATTAATAGAAATAGACCCTACCAGCAGCGTATGGGGGGGGGGGTGGCAACGCAAGCTGCCACATGTGTCATTGTTTACATTAATGCTTGTACTATTGTCCCAATCTAATCCTCCCATAGCCACCCCTATTTTCCACCAAGAGGTCTGAGGGTACCCATCTGGAGTGTACTAAAGCCCCATAGAGAGTCCTCTGCATTGTGGGGCCAGCATCTTTGAATTTGGTCCTAAAGACCAGTCCACAATGTAAAGGTCTTTAGTGATGTTCATCTGCTGTGGCCATTCACCACCTGCACCCGCAAGTGAAGGGGAGCCCTTGCACTTTGCCCAGGGTAATGGCAGTGTGTCCTTTTTAATTGAAGATGAAGATGTAAGCACACTGCACACAGGGTGGTCAGAAGGCAAGGTACCGTTTCTCCTATTACTAGGTGTTCTGATGGGCCTCCAGAGCATGATAGTGAGTTGGTGACCCAGAACGGTCCAGTCCCACACATTGGAATACTGAAGTGTTAGACAGCTGGGCTTGTGGTTATTTAGGCAAGCACGGTCACTGCACTCATTTTTAAAGAAGCACATCGGAGTCCCTCGTCCCAGGCCTGTGTAATTATACAACCAGCATTGTAGCTGCACGTGGACGACAGGTCCTCCCAAAATGTCAGAATCATTGGAGTAGATCTGTACCTCGGGAGACTTCCAACCGACTGGATGGAGCAGAGCGGGGTCAGGAACATATGCCCAATATATGTGCTGAACTGCTTGCTCTGCTGCTTGCTCTTCAGCTGGGGTCCTCCAAAGCTGGAGCAGGATCAGGAGGAATATGGTCTGCATGACACACCAGCCTTTCTGGCAACCACCTCAGGCCATCAGCATCCTGTGGAAAGATACAAACGTGTCTTCACCCCCAAAGAAGGATGGGATCTGGACCTTGCCACACCCCATTCAGAGGATCTTTCCATCGCACCTGTGCGAGGGGTGGACGACCGCCAGAGCACCAAAAGCGCTGTGCAGAACTGTGTCCCGCAAGGTCTAGAGTTAAAAATTTTAAATATAGAGTGCATGGGATAAATAATTCAAAGGTGTAACGGGGTATAACTCCCCCTTCTTAATTTTATTGAGCTGGGCTTTCAAAGTGCCATGGGCTCTTTCAACAATGCCTTGGCCCTGGGGATTATAGGGGATTCCTGTCTTGTGGGCAATACCCCATTGCACACAAAATGTGTGAAAGCGGCTACTGGTATAGCCAGATCCATTGTCCATTTTAATCAGCTTGAGAATGACCATAACAGCAAAGCAAGAGAGGCAGTGGCGAATAACTTGTGAAGTGGATTCTCCAGAGAGAGCAGTAGCATGAAGAAACCTGAATAGGTGTCAATGGTAACATGAACATATTTTAATTTTCCAAATTCAGGGATGTGCATGACATCCATCTGTCACAGGTGATTTGGCAGGAGACGACGAGGGTTGACACCAAGTTGTGGAGGGTTGAAATGCTCAGGACAGGTTGAGCGTCATTTAACAATTTGTCTCGCAGCTTCTCTAGTGATGTGAAAATATTTGTGAAGACTATTACTGTTTTGATAATGTAATGAGTGAGAGTGTGTAGCCTTTTCTATTTGTGTAAGGCCTACGCAGCACATGGCTGCATCAGCTAATGCATTACCTGCAGTTAAAGGACCAGGTAACATAGTATGAGCACGTATGTGACCTATATAACAGCGCTCTGCCCGCTGTTGAAGCAAAGACTGTATCTGTACAAAAAGCTGCTGGATGGCTGTAGTAGAAGTGTCAATGAGAGGAACCGTCTCCAGTCAGGAGACTGCATTGACTACATACTGGCTGTCTGAGTAGAGATTAAATGAGGACGAAAAGTGGAGCAGAAAGAACTAAAGCCACAGCATGCAGTTCTACCACTTGTGCTGAAGCTGGAGTGGTGCGATGCGAAAAAGCCTTGCCATGCACCACACACACAGCTGTGCCATTGCTGGAGGCATCTGTGAAGATGGTGGGTGCACCTTCAATAGGTGTGGAAGAAATTATGTGTGGGAATACAAATTCTTGAAGTTGAGCAAACTGGAGTAGTTTCACCTGAGGATAACGATTATCTACTACTCCCATAAAATCAGCCAAAGCGATGGGAAATGCATCTGTGTTTTGTAAGAGCCAATCTATCTGTTGTTTTGTGAAAGGAACACCAATTATAGATGGTTCAAATCCAAAATATTTTCTGGCTTCTGACCTTATCTCCTGTATTAAAGTTGCAACTGCGTCATGAAAAGGAGTTAACGAACTTCGAGGCGAAACTGCTAAATGTAGCCACTGAAGTGGATCTTGTCCTTGCCGAAGGACTGCAGTGGGAGAATGTTTGGTAGTGAAAATGTAAGCTTCTAAAGGTTTATTATAATAAAAATATGTCAGTTGCTGTTGTGCAGTGACCTGTTCTACACGCAACAGAGCAGTCTTGGCCAGCGGAGTAAGTTCTCTAGGTGAGTTTGGATCTGGATCTCCCTTCAACACAT